GCGGGAGGCGGCGGGCCGGGGAGCCGCGGTGACTTCGGAGGGAGGTCGGGTCTGCTCGGGGGAAGGCGTAGCGCCTGTCGGGGGAGGGAGCCCGTCCGGAGAGGGGTGAGCCCCGGCCGGCCTCGGGACGAGGCGGCGGAGCGCTCCCTACCTGACATCTGCGTCTCCTGCTGCCCCTTCGCTGGGCTGAGCCGGCACCAGCGCGGTTTGGGCCCTGCGCCCGGGCTCGAACGCCCGCTTGGGAGGTTTCGGTTATGGAAAGTCTTTTTTCCTTTGTGCTTTCCAGTAACCGAGTTCTTTTCTCCGTAGCTCTGAAACGGCTGCGTGAAGCTGCCAATAGCAACGACTTGGACACGGGTAAGACTTCTGCCGATCCTATCTGGGACCCCTTCCTGGAAGGGCAGTTTTGGCTAGGGGCTTTATTTTAGAAGAGGAGGAGGGTGCAGATAGTTTTGCAGTCATGGTGCTTCAGATGCTGCGAATCTAGAAACTGCTTTGCTGGAGCTTTGCCTCGTTCTCTGAGCAGAGTGAGGCTGGTTATGGCGTTCACCTTTCTGATCAGGTGCCCCTTCAGCTTACCTGCTTTCTTCTCCTCCTTGGCCCTGTCAGTGCACCAGCTCCTAGAGGATGGGACTGACCCCTGTGCTGCGGATGACAAAGGCCGGACAGCTCTGCACTTTGCCTCCTGCAATGGCAACGATCACATCGGTGAGTGGGGAGCCCAAGTTCTGCCTTCCAGCCTCTCTGTGGCACACATTTTGAAGGATGCTCTTTGTTTTGATGCAGCACGTGATGGAGATTGGTGGTTTTTGTGTGTTTTGTGGCAATGTGGCCAGCTGAACTCTGGCTCCGGGGGGCTCGCTGTGTCCCCCTGCTGAAGGAGGAGCAGGACTTCCCAGCTCCGGGGCTGTACTGGTGCAGAAGGGTGTCCTTAGTCCCAGTTCTTCCCCTCAGGGAGCCCAGGGGCAGTGTCACTGCCCAGCTGTGTGCTGGGTCTTTGTGCAGTGCTGCACAAAGCTCCATCTGACCCCATCTCTGGGAGGAAGCTGCTGAGCTGAACAGAAGCCCCCATAAGGCAGCCTGGTGGCTGCTGCCTGGGCCTGTGGTCCACGAGGGCCCGACCTGTGGAAGAAGAGACTGAGAAGGAAAGGGATTGATGTGGCTCTGTTTTCTTGTTTCCAGTGCAACTGCTTCTGGACCATGGGGCTGACCCAAACCAGAGAGATGGGCTGGGAAACACCCCCTTACACTTGGGTAAGTGCCATGGAGGGGAGGTCTGCATGCAGAGAGGTGAGGTGAACACCACCATGCCCTGTCTTTCCTCTCCACCTTCCCCATCCCTGTGCATCACAGTATGCATCTCCAGCTGCAGGAACCTAGGAGGTACTCTACGTTTCATTATCTTCACACCTCACAGAGATTTAAGGGTCAGAGTTTAAGCAAATCACTTTCCTTCCCTCTGCCAACCCCGAGGCGTGCCAGATCTGTTCCAGAGGTGCTACTCAGGCTTGAGGGTGAGGTTACCCTTAGCAGCTGGGCTGTTCCTCTTTCCCGTGGCAAGGAGCCCTTGGGGAAGCGGCAAGCTCCACACTTGAGCAGAAACTCCTTTGCTGTTCACTGGTCCCTCTGAGTTGTGTGTCCTGTGTTTTCCCTCCCCAGCTGCCTGCACGAACCACGTTCCTGTCATCACCACGCTGCTGCGGGGAGGTAACATTCCCTCTACAACCACCACAGCCTGTCCCTCTCCTACCCTGCCCCTGTGAACACCCCCAGGGACCGTGGGGCCTTGAAGGCAGACCTCACTTTCTGTCCTCCTTCGTGCATCTTGCAGGGGCCAGAGTGGATGCTTTGGACCGAGCTGGCAGAACCCCACTGCACCTGGCCAAGTCCAAGCTGAACATCCTGCAGGAAGGGCTCTCCCACAGCCTGGAGGCCGTGCGCCTGGAGGTCAAACAGGTAAAAAATCCCACCTTCTGCTAAGGTGCTGCAGCCCCTACACCCTTTCAGGGTCAAATATGGCAGCTGTTTTAGATCCCTGTCTGTAGGTTTTTAGCTGCTCTGAGTTTGACTTTTTCCTTCTGTTTTCAGAGAGCTTCCTTTTTCCTAATTTCTACTCTAAATTTTTGCAGGACCTCTCTTGGCTCTGCTAGGCCAAGGATGCATTGAGCATCTTAATTCTGAGGCTGTATGGAGCATTCTCTTTTCTTCACCCACTGTGTAAGACGTGGCAGGAGAGGGACCACAGCGTGGGCTGTAGCTGTGGCTCCAGCAGGGATTCTACATTCCTAGCACAGTCTGCCCTGCTCTGGTACATGGGGGCATGGAGTAGGAAAGCAGTCACAGGGCTGCACGGCAAATACAGGAGCTATGGGCCTCACTTCAGGAGCTGTGTAGGAGCCACAAAGGGTTTTTTTCCTGTAAAAATCTCCCAGCCTGGTACAACTGTCTGATGTTGGAGTGAGAAGAAGCTCACACTGCTGTCTGATCATGAGGACAAGAGCCTTTCATGCCTGTTGGTTTCAGATTATCCAGATGTTGCGGGAGTACCTGGACCGCCTGGGGAGGCACGAGCAGAAGGAACAGCTGGATGACCTCTGCTCCAGGTTACAGAAGACTAGCACAAAAGAGCAGGTAGGCAGCGTGGAGCTGTGGTGACTCACCTGCTGGTGTGGTGAGCAATGTGTGCAGGAGGATGCAGACACGTGAGCAAGGTGAGGCTGAAGACATGGATATGGGAAGTGTTCTTGCTCCTGTTGGGTAGAGGCCAAGTTTCGTGGTGACTCGTGGTGCTCCCTTGGGTTGGAAGTGAAAATGCAGGAAGCATCTCTGTGCCTAGCAGCTCAGCAGAGCAGCTGGAGACCAAATGGGCTGAGGGCATGGGTGTTTTAAGGCCAGCATCACAACCACACAGGGTTGCAGGGCCTGGTTGTTTTTTTACTACAGCAGATTGGCCCTTAGAAACAGGCTTAGAAGAAACAGCCCTGATGCCATCATTGAGTTCTGGGTAATACTTCTATTTGAGGGACTGGCTGGATCAAACAAACTGGAGGTCAAGCCCTGACCTCGTGAGGAATGGGGAGGAGCTCCTGTTGCTTTAGATTAGGACTTGTTTTATTGTGAGGACAGGAGCCCTTCTACACAATTGTGGGACCAAAGGGATCCTGTCCTGGTATAAGGTCAGCGTTGAGCTTTCCTGGCAGTCCTCCTGCAGGGGGGTGTCTTCTGTGGTGGTGGGCAACTTCCCTGCCTCATGGTCTGCTGTCTTCTGGCAGGTGGACGAGGTTACAGACCTCCTGGCCAGCTTCACCTCACTCAGCCTGCAGATGCAGATGGAAAAGAGGTAACTGGCTTCCAAAATCATCTTCCTGCTGCAACAGGAGAAGCCTTGGAGAGAAGCAGAGGAAGCTGAGGCTTGCTTCAGCTGCTGCCAGTGGCCGTTCTGCCAGACCCACTCTGCTGGTGCCCAGACTGCTCCTGTTGGTGCTGCCACAGCTGCCCCGTGGGGTGGCAGTGGCCTTTGGAAGACAGAGACAACGGGCAGCAAGAGTGCTGCAGCTGAGACTTTTGGAAGGGAAGAGCTGCTTTTCTTTTTGCCAGATGGGCTGGCACTGAATAGGATACCCCTTGCAGAGATGTCTGGCCTTCACTTAAGCACTTCAGCTGGATGTAGGTGGTGGCTGATGCCACATGTGGTCGGTCACAAGCCCTGACTGGTGCATTCAGCAGCTGGCCAGCATCCAGAAACATTTGGAACAGGCACCTTCTGCCACCTCTGCAGTAGTCCACTGCATGGGGGAGAAAGTTGGTGCCTCTGACAACAGAAGGCTTTGTGCTGTGAGGAGAATCACTCTTCATTCTGCCTGCTGCCCTGAGAAACACCCCGAGGCTTGATCCTGACCTTCCCCAGAGCCCGTGGTCAGAGGATCTGCCTGGTTCCAAACAGGACACAAAGCTTTCAATCTCTAAACAGCTTTTCCTGGCCCTGTTTTTAAACCACTGCTGCAAGTTAGTGCTTAAATACTAGGGTGCAAAAAGCAGCCAGCTAGCAGGTGAGGATCCACAGTCCTTGTCAGTAGGGTGCAGATAGCAGCAGGGTGACAAGAACATGCCCAGCAGCAGTCTGAGTGCCCACGGGGGTACCACACCTAAATGACAACGTGCTGGTGGCAATACCCATCCCACAGCTTGGGAAATGGGGTTTAGGATTCAGCCACAGCCTGGAGCATTCTTCAGAGACCTTTAGGTGAAGGTGTTCTCTTGCCCAGGAGGAGGCTGAGTGGGATCTCCACGTTCCAAGCTGAGGTGGCAGAAGTCAGTGTGGTGTTCAGATGGGCTCATCTGCAGGGTGCTGGAGCCCACGACTGGGGCTCACAGTCTTGTGGGCTGGCTGGAGCTGTCACTGTGAATACTGATAACTCTGTTAGATATGCTGGATGGGAAGGCTACTGAGGGGGTGGGAGACAATCTGACCTTTTTGTATATTGAGCTTCAATAAAATCCTGTCAGCCTTTTCAGACTCCTCAGCTGAGTTCTCTCTTTTCCAGAGCAGCTCATTCCTCTTCCTTTAGGTGTGTTCCAGCCCCCACCCACAGCACTGCTGCTCTCTGCTAACTCTTCCCTTCCTGCCCAGGGCTGAAATCAAAAGTGACAACACAACGTTGTTTGAATTCAAGCACCACTCTGTTTGCAGATCAAAGTACACAGTCACTGACTCACCTTCTGATCTTGACTCCCACAGCCAAGAAATCCAAACTTTACATCTAGCTGGTTGCTGTGAAGCTGTACAAACAAGAGAGAAGAAAATCTCAGTGGGATTGCTTCGAGCTGGCAGAGGGGATGCTTTGTGAGAAGGAAAATCAGCCTCACCCAGCCTGCACTCCTCAAAAGCACAGAGCTGAGGGGGGAGAGGGTGGCTGAACTCGTGTCTTGCCATGTGAAACATGCTCTGAAGAGATGAGGGGCTGGGGAGGGACACCTGAGCAGGACAGAGAATTTCCAGGGTGGTCCCTATGTGAGCAGTGAGTGACCTTTGTGTCCAATCTTTCTTTGTTTCTTCCCACCTTCCCAATCTAGTCTTGGTGTCCACATCACACCCGGCTGTCAGAGCTTCTGCACTCAACAGCCTTGTTGCTGAGGAGACCATTAAGGTGCCTGAGGAGCAAAGGGCTGAAATGCTCTTTATTGCTGCAGTTACCTTCCTTGCTGATGTTGACTGCTAGACACAGCTTGGAAGCTTTCCTCAGAATCAGGAATGCACCTCAGCTGGTACTCAGAGCGAAGCTTTTAGCCTGAGCACACGTGATGTTGTCCACAGCTCTTCAGACCTTTGTCTTGCCTGGCACTGGAGTTTTTCATAACCTCTCCTAAGTGTGGAGGGGAAAAGTGGGGGTGCTGCAGCCAGCCAGGAGCAGTTGCTCCTTCTGTGGGAGCTGAGGCACTGCCAACAACCCCTGGGAGACTGGCACAATGGACAGGCAAATAAAATGAGGGGGAAATTTTACCACTTCTTTAGCAATCACCTCAGATAAGAAAGAGGAGAGGGGATCAGGTTTTCAGTGGGGATGAAAATGCATCACGTAGGGATCATATTCTGTGGATCACTGAGTTCTGCTCTCCCACCTCAGGGCTGGGGCACTGGGCTGCTCAGAGCTGTGTCATGTGTTTGGCACTGGCCCGAGAAAAGTTTTAGGTTTCTGTGTGTCAGCTGCTCATGCCAAAGCCTGGACTACCCTGCCCTGCTCAGCAGCTCTATCTAGACAGAGAGTTTAGTGCTGGGGAGGGAAAGAAGGGAAGAAAAAGTTCCAGGGGAGGAGGAGAATGGGGCTTCATGCTGTGCCAAGAGCTCTGTGCACTGTCTGCTTTTTCTGCTGCTCCTGGCCTCCTCTCCCAGCAGCTTTTCCCCTGCTTTTGCACACTGGGCCAGACTTCCCCGGGCAGCCCATAAGGTGGGAGGCTGGTGGCAGCTTTCTGCACCTCCCAGTGGTGTCTGCTGCAAGAACCAAGAACAAAACCAGCAGCACAGGTTTCCCTCTGCTGTTTATTTTGCCATTAAACGCAGACCAGACTCCAACCTGACCATTTTCCTCGTGCTGCACCATCCAACATCCCTTCCCGGTTCCTTTCCCAAGAGACTGTTCATCCCTGCCACGGGCCAGTGATGTCAACCAGGCCTTGACCCAAGGCCTTGCCTTGGTCACTGTTGTGTGGCCTCCAGATTTGTTCCGTTTCCCCCCCTCATTTAGAGCACAGAGCTGCAGTGAGGTGCTGAACCCAGCAGCCACCTCCCCATCTCGGCAGCTTCCCTGTAAGACACAACAAAAACCTTGTCTGGCTCACCCAAACAAGCGAAGACAAAACCTGCTGGCACCTCACTGAGGACCCACAGGAGAAGCAACAGCCCTGAACAAAGCCTCCCAACAAAGCCACACGGATGTTATTAAGCAAAAGGCCTTTCTCTGAAGCAGCCGCTCACCCCCGCAGGTGAATGCAAAGCGGGCACTGATGTGCAAACACAAGAATCTGTTGAACACTTTAGCAGCAGAAATAATTAAACTCCAGGGTATTGAGCCAACAAGTGAACTCCATTACTTCTTCCACCTCTTCCTTTCTAGCAGACTCCAAATCCATCATTGTAATTACCTACGCTGCTGAAGAAGCTCCATGAAGCAACTCTGGCAAACCTCCCATCCTTTCATCTGCTTCCTCTGCTCATTCCATCAGCAGGACAGATCTCCTCCATCACAGGATGGTACTTGCAGCAAGATGCCTGTGCACTGTGCCCAGCCAGCATTAGAGAGCAGCCCTGGGCATCTCGGAGCCCATGAGACAACTGGGTGGAAGAGCCAGCAGTTCGGGTGAGGAAGCTGATGAAGGAGAGACAGCAAATTGTGGATCTGAGAAGGAAAAAGAATGTGTGGTTGCTGGAAGAATTAAAATCATCAGCTGGCAATCTGCTAAGACTGGGCATGGATTAGGAACCAGCAGCTAAACCCAAAAGCAAATAAGCAGAATTCCCTCTAGCTACTAGTGTTACATGCCCTGACCATCCCATCACACAGTCACTTCCCTGCCTGCAAGCTGGCAAGGCTGTCCTGCTGCTTGCAGAGGGTCTGTGCAAGGTCCTGCTCCCACGAGCACAAGGGGAGACACAGGCAACACTTGAGCTTCTTGCTCTGCCAGAATTAGAAGCCAGCCTCATAGCAGCTTTCTGGCTCCTCCAGTCCCATGTGTCTGCAGACAGGGAAACTCTCCCTCCAGGGCTGCCAGATTTGCACACAGGGGTGTAAGCAGGATGAGCTCCTCAGCACCTGGGTCAGACACCTCCCAGCAGTGTCTGGGGCTCATGGCATGTGCATCATGGAGATGCCAGGCACCAGGACCAGCATACAGCTGGCAGGACTAAGTGCTCCACAGAAGGTAGCCATGGCCAGCTCGCAGGAGAGCTGGAGCCAACCACTAGCCACAAACACCCAACTGCTCTCACCTCTCCCATTCCCTCTCCCTCATCCCAGCTCCAGGCGTGGCTGCATTCAGCCAACCTGGCAAACCAGCTTCTAGAGGGTTAAAGCCAAGCTGCTCGTCAGCCCAAGTGATGACAAGGAGGAAAGAAAATACAAGCACCGAGTCCTTAATTAAGGTGAGAAGCTGGGAGCAGGGACTGCAGAATGCTAATCAGTCTGGAGGGGAAGCTGCGTGGAAAGAAGCAATCAAGCTCCTTCAGCTTTAATTAAACCTGGCTCTGTATCAAGGCTGTGACACCTTTTCTTCACCTCTGCCTCTGAGCAGAGAAACCAGCTGTTACTGGGCAGACAGCAATTCCCTCCTGGCTCCAGAGCCTCCCCAGGGCTTGGTGTCTGTCCTCCCTGCTCAAATGCTCCCCAAAATCAGTGCCAGGCAGAGCTTGGGGATGGGAGCTTGCAGATGCTTGCCATGTTAAATGCACCTTCTCCCCCAGGTTTTCTCCATCCTGTTCTATTTAGGCTTCACACCAACGTGCAGCAGTCAGTCCCCACCTGATCCGCTCCCTTTTTGACGTGAGACTGGGAGGATGAGGATGAGGATGAGGGGTGAGCAGCAGCCTGGCTCCAGACACAGGCAGTGTCTGGCTGTGGTGTAGCCTTGCTCCCCACTGCTATTCCCTTCTCCCTCCAACACTTGGGGCTGTGAAATGAACCCACAGAAGTGATGTCACATTTGTGTCACCCAAAAGCTGCTTGAGGCCATGTGAGCTGGCCACCAGCCATAACCTCTCATGCAAAGGGTGGCTACAAGGTTAGCTGTCCCTAGGGAGGTGGGTAAAACATGCTGGCCACATTTCCAAAAGGCCTTGACCACAGAGCAGCTGCAGCCACCAGGGAGGAAGTGGGAGCAGGAGAAATCAGAAACAAGGCCAGGAGGTGAGGAAGGCTCCAGGTGCAGAGAGAGCCTTGGCTGGCCTCCACTCCAGGCAATGGGTGTCCTTGGAGCTGGGCTCTAGGAGGTGTGCAGCTGCTTCAGTGAGGATTAGAAATATCACGTTGCCTGGGAATCTTAAGAGCAGGAGAGACCAAGCAGTAAGCTCAGGTTTACTCAGGCAGAAGCAAGGGACAGAGAGAGAGAAATAGGGGGGAGATTCGTGGCTCTGCTCACACACATCACCATGAAAGGTGAATAATCTGCCCTGTTCAGGGCAAAGGTGTTCACTCTGAATCCTACTGCTGCCACGATGATCTCTGTTTCCCAGCTTCAGTGTGGAAGTCTGGAGCATCCCACAGTGTCACTGCTTTCACTAAAACAAAATTCTTTTGCCAAGATTTCCTCCTTTCACCTGCTCTTAGGGTGTTATGGGTGCAGATCTGCCTCACGTTGAGAGTTACACACTCAGTAGCCACACAGCACTAATTAAATGCCATATGTAATTAAGGAAAAGGAGGGGATGCTGCGATCATGTGAAGTTTATTGTAAATATTCAGCTGGAATGGTGGCAGGTCTTGTGATCTGTGGCTGAGGCATCTTAGTCCTGGCTGTTGGAGCGTGGAGGAGGCAGCTAAGGAGCTCTGTGGGGCTTGAGCTCAGTTTCACAGGTCTGGATGAACAAGCTCTTTGTCCTCTTTCTGGGATTTCTTCCTGATCTTGTCCTCCAGCATCACCAAAAGCTCCCAGGCCACGGGACCAAGGCTTAGGGACTATCTCTGTGCTGGAAACTTGTGTCCCTCCAGGGAATCTGTCTCATCCCAGGTGAGGATGGGCTCAGGTGGCTGCAGTCACCTGTGGTGCATGGACTTGGCACATTGTGGAAGCCAAGTACCCTTCTTGGACCACCTCCCCTCTTTACTCATGTCACAGCTAGGTGACAAAATGGGAGCTGTGTGAAGTCAGCAACATCCCCAGGCCTGGCTCTGCCTGGCATCGTGGCAAATCGTGGCTCTGCAGCAATGCAAATCCCAACAGCTCCTTCCCTCCTTTCCTCCCTCCCATCTGTGCTAGGCTGAGCAAAGGCCTTGGAAAAAGAACACCTTGGATGGTGTTTTTTCTGGGCTTCTCCAACAGCCCAACGATGCAGAACAATGCTAAAGCAAGCTGCTGTGGGGCTGGGCTCCAACATAGCTGAGGGATGCTCACCCTAGCTCCAGAGCAGCCTGACACTGCTTGGGTGGGGAGAAGGCTCCTGCCAAAACGTGAGTGCTCTGCCAGCACGTTGCTTCCTACCTCCCTCATGATGTTTTTCTTCCCTTCTCCCCCCTGCATCCAGTCCCTTGCTTCACCTTGCCCTCTCACTGCCATCTTCTGTCCCCTTGGATGGCTCCTGAGACACTTTTCTCATTCATCTTGCCTCCTTCCTCCTGTCCTCTCACCATCCCTCCTTTTCCCTGTTTCTGTGTCCCTCTCCCACAACTTTCTCTTCAACACTAACAGTGCCAGATGCAGCTTCAAACCCTCCAGCTTTGCTTCTTTGCTTCTGCAGTGTCTGCAAAGCCAAAAAAAAACAAATGACCCCCCTCTAGTGAGGCAGGGACACCAGACTGTGGTAAGACACCTCATCCAGCCTCCACCACTTCCAGCCCCACGCTGGGCAGAGATTGTACCCAGCACACAGCCAAGGTGGCAGGAGGAGGAAATGACCAGGGTTTATTAAGGTCAAGCAGGGGAGAAATTCCAGCACCTTCTGGGGAATGTGGTTTCTTGTCCCACCCCTCCATCCCTGCAGCATCCCCATCCTTCCTGCTCTCACACAGCCCTGCTGTGGGGTGTCATCGAGCTGCTACCACAGCTGAAGTGTCCTCTGGGGCTGCTTGGAGAAGTCTCACTGAGCAGTCTCACACTCTCCTGGAAGCCCTCTCCTTTTGGGTAGAGAGGGGCACCAAGGAGACACTAAGTGGACATGGGTGTAATAGGCCTGTTTCTTTCTCCTTTGCCTCACCACAACTGTCACCTGGGTCCACAGCTCGTTTTGCAGCTTGGCTGCTTTCTTCTGCTTTGGTGACAGCCATCAATTTACTCACATTCATCAACATTACATGGAAAAACAGTGTCAGTAAACAAGTTTACAAGTCAGTAAACCACACACATGGGGCTAAGATCACTGAGTAATGTCACTGCTTGGAGAGCAACAGGTCCTTCAGCCCCAGAAGGAAGGGATGAAACTCCCAGTAGCAAGCAAAGATCAAAGAGGAGGCAATAATCCCTCAGGAGTTTGCAAAGGACAAACAGAAAGCAAGCAGAGGGGTGGATCAGGTGGAACAATGTGGTGGAAGGAGGAGTTACAGAGTTTGTTTAAGAAGAGCTGAAGACAGCTAGCAGGAAACTGCAAGTGTCCTGCAGGATTTGCTTGCAGGAGCTAAAGCCAGGTGGGACAGAGCTCTAGGAAACAGCCTCCAGCAAGTAATTCTGGTGGGGCAAAGGTCCTTTGATCTGGATGCAGGGGCTACAGAAGGGGGTGAAAGTGGACAAGGGCTTCCCCTGCCCCATGGGAAAAGAAGGGCATGGGGACAGCTGAGACTCTTCACTCTTCTCACTCATGCTCTGCTGTGTCTTTTACAGACTGGATTTTCTACCAGGATGTTTTCATTTTGGTTGCCTCCCTCTTAGGGTTTCGAGGTGCTGCAGAAAATTAGTGTGTTTGGAAATGGAGGCCTTAAAAACTGCTGCAGGAGTGTCCCCCAGGTCACTTGGTACCACATTAACGTGTCCCTCAGTTCTGCCTCTGTACGGGTGGATTGTGCCATTCGGGGTGGTGGGTTAACCGTGGCCACGGGGTCTTTTGATGGCTCTGCTGCATCCATCCCTCTCTGCCCCTTTTGGAAACCGAGTGGGAATTTTCCACCAGCTGAAAGTTTTTCTTCCACTTTGTTCATCTGTGGTGACCAGCCAGAGACTCCTGAGTTGCTCCTGGAGGGGTCATGGCTAGGGGATGGCCAGCTGTTGCCACACTCTCCTCTTCCAGTAGCTCCTTCTGAACAGAGACCACAGCACCTTCTAGCTGGCGACTCCATGCTCTGCCATGCCCTTCAAGGTCCTTCTTCCTGGTGTTCTCCTCTGGGACCTGTGTCACCTCAGTGTTGCCTCCACAGAAACCTCTGGTGCCGTGAGTGAAACCTTTGCCCACATTGACCACGTGGACTTTCTTTCCGACTCTCCTCTTCTTCTTCCTGGTCTTGTTCTGGAAGAAAAGGCAGGTGAAGACCTGCTTGAAACGCTTGCGGAAGTGCTTGGAGATGAGGGCATAGACGATGGGGTTGAGGCAGGAGTTGGCATAGGAGAGGCAGTGGGAAGCCAGGCGGCAAGCGTAAGTGGCTCGGTTGAAGGGGAAGTGGCCAAACCAGAAGCACAGGATGACCAGGTGGTGGGGCAGCCAACAGAGGCAGAACAAGATGGCCACAGCCACAATCATCTTGGTGACCTTACGCTTGGCTTTCCGGGACTCTGAGATCCTTTCTATGGGGTCTACGGAGGTCCACAGGAACTTGATGGTCCTGGCGTAGGCCAGGCTCACCACGGTCACGGGCAGGAGGTAGCCAAAGACAAAGGTGAGGATGTCCAGGATCTTTCGGCGCTGATCCTCCCAGATGGGGACACAGATGGGCACGGCGTGGTAGTGGACAATGTGGTAGTAACTGAGGTAAGGTCCTGCAAAGAGCAGGGACAGGGACCAGATGGCCACGATGGCCAGGGCTGCGTTTCGGGAGGTGCGGAGATCCCGGGACTTCAGGGGGTAGCGGATGGCCAGGTACCTGGTGGGGAAGGGAAGGAGAAGGAGCCCCAGCTCAGCGTAGGTGAGATGAGGTATCTCTCCTGCTCTCTGGAGCTGCCACCTGTGCACCCCTTCCCATGCAACCATTCATCTCTGCCCCCTGCCCCTCCTCTTGGTAGGGAGGGTTATGGTGAGTTCACATAGGGTCACCCCAAGAGTGGGTCTGGCATCTCCATCACCCACTCTGCTGTGCCAGCTCAGGCAGGGCAAGCAGCCCTGAACCAGGGAAGAGAAGGATCCAGAGGGCTCCCTGTTTCTCCTGTGGTGTGTTGCTCCCCTGGGGCTTTTGCTGCTCTTGGTTTTGGATGGTGGACAGCAAACCTCAGTGTGTGCCTGCTCTCCTCCTTCCCAAGCGAGGGGTGGGAAACCAGGCAAAGAGCTTGGCTTGGTGCTGGCGAAGGGCATGGGGAGCTGGAGTGAACCAGGGAAGAGAAGGATCCAGAGGGCTCCCTGTTTCTCCTGTGGTGTGTTGCTCCCCTGGGGCTTTTGCTGCTCTTGGTTTTGGATGGTGGACAGCAAACCTCAGTGTGTGCCTGCTCCCCTCCTTCCCAAGCGAGGGGTGGGAAACCAAGCAAAGAGCTTGGCTTGGTGCTGGCGAAGGGCATGGGGAGCTGGAGAGGCTGCTTGGCTGGCCCTGCCTCTCAGGAGACCCTGCCTGCTTCTCCCAGGACACTCATCAGGGTAAGGACTGACCTTCCTCCCACTCCTTAGCTCAGGGGAGGCAAGCACGTGGTCCTGGGACACAAAGGGAATGGGATATTTACCTGTCAACAGAGACGGCGGCCAGGGTGAAGCTGCTGGCATACATGGTGAGGTAGATCAGGAAATGCACAGCCTTGCAGGCAAAAGCCCCAAAAAGCCACCCATCCAGGGTGTAAATGGTGGCCTGGAAGGGGACACAGCAGACAATGAAGCACAGGTCGGCCACGGCCAGGTTCAGGATGAAGAGGTTGGTGGTGTTGTACTTGACTTGGCCATTCTGCAGCAGTACAGCCAGCACCAGCCCGTTCCCCACAGTCCCCAGGAGGAAGATGAGGGAGAAGATGACTGGCACAACAATCCCTGCTGCTCGTAGCTCCAGGCTCTCAGAAGAGGCGTTCCATCCCCCTGGCATCTCCCCATCTGACTGTGGGGACCTGCATGGAGAGAAGGGGAGACACAGCCCCTGGGCATGGCTGTGGGCATGCTGGTGCTGGTTGGTGGCACTCCACCACACTCCCACCCCAGAGGGAGCTCTCTAAGCTGGGACCATCTCCACCCCAGAGCTGACTGCTCTTTGTGTGCAGTAGTTCCACTCCACAGAGGAGGGGCAACTTTTCCTGATGCCAAGAGGAGGTCACAACATGGATGGTGGCACCTAGGAGAGGCTGGGGGGGAGACCTTGGAGCTGCCTAAGACACAACACGATGATCATCTCAGAGGAACGTGTCATTACCACAGCTCAAGGTATTGTGATTTGCTGCCAAACTTCCTCCAGCCCTGAGTAGCACCAGGCTCAGGCAGGGAGCACCAACAGCCTATCTCCTGACGAGCCTTCCCTGTGTTGTGCTATCATCAGAACAAATTGTCCTTTGCTGAGCAGCAACCAAGAAGGAAAGACACCATTATCTAGCAATTGTTGACATGCAATTAACTCTTTTTTTGGGTCGTGGAGGCTCCCTCACCCCATGCTCCCCCATCCCTCGGCTCAAATCTCTTCTCCTTCCCAGCAGCTTTTCTATATCACACCAAAAGGTTGTCCCTGCCTCTCTGGCTCTGCAGTCCCCTCTGTCCTACTGGTAACTATCTGGCTCCTCCAGCCAGCCCCACGGGATCTCCTCGCTCAAGCAGAGGAGCCCAATCTCCCCTCCCTCGCACACAGACTGCGAGGCACCTCTGGGCACCAGCGTGTCCCCGCTCAGGGAGCCTGAGGCCACCTCTCAGCTTGGGAAGCCAGCACTCACCTCTGCAAGGAAGGGCCCTCAGCTTCACTGCTCACTTGGGGGAGACCCCCGGTCCACCCCAGGCAGTGGTGGTGAGGAAGATGTGGGCCACTGAAGAGTCACCCCTGCCCGGAGCTCTGCTCCCTCTTCTCCCAGCTCCCATGCGCATCTCTCTCCTTCTGGAGCTCCTCTCCTCTCTCCTTGTCTCCCCCTTTTCCCTCCCTCTGCTCTTGCTGCTGATCCATTGATCTCTCTGTTTTTTTCCCCTCTCCCTGAGGTTGGGTTTGGAGTTAACTCCTCTCTGCCCAGCCTTCCAGCGGGCTCAACCAATCCCCGCTCCAGCGACGAGGGGGCTGCTGAGAAAAAGCCTGCTGCTCTCCAGCAGGAGAGGGAAGGTGACAGGGGATGGGGTCCCAGGAACCCCAGTAGGCCCTGCATGCACCCCTCAGTGCTGGGTGTTCAGGGCACATTGCCCAGCACCTCCGGGAAACATGAATATCCCACCAAGGTGACCCTGGCACCTGCTTTGTCCTTGGGTTATGGGTCTAAAGCCTTCGGAGCACGAGCAGTTGCTCTTAGTAGCTGCTATTAATTAATTGTTAATACACAGTGGCACAGAGCAGATGGTCCCTCCAACAATATCTGACCCAAGGAAGGAGGGGAAAGCAGATTTTGATTTCCATCCAGCTCGGGTCTGCCCTCCACCAGCACTGTTGGTGCGCTGCGGTGTGGGGAGAGAGGACAAGCCATCCAGGGAGGCCATCTCTAGGGCTTCCTCTCCGTCACGGCTCCGAGGGACAGCACACACGCTGGCTGATGTGCCAAGAGGTGACAGCCACCCACGCAGCCCTCCTGCCTTGCCAACATCCCTGTGCCCTGCAGACTGCCGGGTGCACCGAGGCCGAGCACGGCTTGGTGATCCTTCCCCAGTGAGACCCAAAGACTACCAGATTCCCCTGAGTGGGAAGGTCCTGGACACCTCTTCCAATGATGGAGGGGGACATGAAGGACGGGGCACCA